CCGTCTCCGTGCCCTGCCGCCCCGAGCCCCTCCGTGCCCCGCCGCCCTGCCTGCCCCTAGCCGTTTGTCCCCGCCGCCCTGCCCTCCCCGAGCCCCTCTGCGCCCCGCCGCCCTGCCCTCCCCGAGCCCCCTTGTCCCCCACTGTCCGGCTCCACCGCCCTGCCCTCTCTGAGCCCCTCAGCCTGCCCCGCCGTCCGAGCCCCACCTCCCCCACCCTCCTGCCTGCATGCCCCAAGCACCTCGACTTCTGTCCGCACGCCTTGTCCCAGACCACCCCGCCTGCACGCCCCAAGCCTCTTGTCTACCCCGCACACACCACTCCCTGCCCCCATCCTATCCCAGCCTGTTCTCTGTCTCTTCTTCACAACACCCATCACTGACAGTACCCCTCAATCCCAGACCGCAGCCCCCTGTTCTCCCGGCCCTGGGCTCCTCCCCCAACCCTCGTGTTCCCACCCCCACCGCCCCAGTGCTGACTGCCCCGGCCCTGCTCCCAGGTGCAGAAGCTCCAGGCCATCCTGAAGCCCATGATGTTGCGGCGGTTGAAGGAGGATGTGGAGAAGAACCTGGCGCCCAAGCAGGAGACCATCATCGAGGTGGAGCTGACCAACATCCAGAAGAAATACTACCGGGCCATCCTGGAGAAGAACTTCTCGTTCCTGTCCAAGGGGGCGGGGCACACCAACATGCCCAACCTGCTCAACACCATGATGGAGCTCCGCAAGTGCTGTAACCACCCCTATCTCATCAACGGTGAGGGGCCGGGCGGGGGCTTCCCCCTCGGGCAGCGCTGCCCCCTCACTGCCGGCGCCTGTCCCTGCAATGGGGCCATCTCAGTGGGGCCGGGTGGGGGGAATGCTGGGCCCCAGAGTAACGTGCCCACTTGTTCCTTCCCCGTCAGGCGCGGAGGAGAAGATCCTGGCTGAGTTCCGGGACTCCTGCCCGCACTACGTGCCCCATGACCTGCACCTCCAGGCCATGGTGCGCTCAGCCGGCAAGCTGGTGCTCATTGACAAGCTGCTGCCCAAGCTCAAGGCGGGCGGCCACAAGGTGCTGATCTTCTCACAGATGGTGCGCTGCCTCGACATCCTGGAGGACTACCTCATCCAGAGGCGGTGAGGGCACCTGCTATTCTAGGGCCTGTGTGTGAACAGACGCTCCCCCAGCAGGGGGTGGGATCGGGGAAGTGACCTTAGCTCTGCTGTAGGGCATACATCAACACAGGCTGTGGTAGGTTGGAAGGGGTGTCATCAGTGGTAATGAAGCTGGGGGTGCAGTGGGGCATGGAGTTCCATCACTACGTAAACACGGTGCTGGCCCCTCCCTCGCAGGTACCTGTACGAGCGGATTGACGGACGGGTGCGGGGGAACCTGCGGCAGGCCGCTATCGACCGCTTCAGCAAGCCTGACTCGGACCGCTTCGTCTTCCTGCTCTGCACCCGGGCGGGCGGCCTGGGCATCAACCTCACGGCAGCCGACACCTGCATCATCTTCGACTCGGACTGGAACCCCCAGAATGATCTGCAGGTACTGGGGACCCTCCCCTGCCCCACTGTGTGCTGCCTCCAAGAGCTGACGAGGGGGTCATGCCCTTCTCTTCCTGTACTCCCTGCAGTGTCTTCCCCCACTCTGGGGTCCCTGAGTGTTCTCTTACCCCACAACCCAGCCCCATCCCTTAGCATCCCCTGGGGCTGTCCCACCCCCTGTGCACTTCCAGGGCCCAACAACCACTGTCCCCTAGCTACTCCCCTTCCCTGCCCCTCAGAACGCTCTGGGTCCCGCGCCCCAGACACCGGCTCCTCCCCTGCTGAATGCACCAGGCGCCCTGATGCCCCTCTCTCCCCAGGCACAGGCGCGCTGCCACCGGATCGGGCAGAGCAAGGCGGTGAAGGTCTATCGCCTCATCACCCGCAACTCCTATGAGCGCGAGATGTTCGACAAGGCCAGCCTCAAGCTGGGGCTGGACAAGGCCGTGCTGCAGTCCATGAGCGGGCGCGAGGGCAGCATCGCCGGGGTGAGAGCACGCGGGGAGCCGTGGCATGGCTCCAATCCGGCCCCAGGGCGAGGGACTGGTGGGCTCAGGAGGGTGGCAGGGAGGAGGTGGGCTGGTGGGGGGGCTGTGACGTTGGGGGTACCCGTGGGCTGGGGTGGTGGCATGGTGGGGAGGAGGTTCTGGGGGGCTGAGGGGGCTGTGACATTGGGGGTACCCGTGTGAACAGTGTGTTGTCCCCCTCCCCTCCCCAGATCCAGCAGTTCTCAAAGAAGGAGATCGAGGACCTGCTGCGCAAGGGGGCCTATGCTGCCATCATGGAGGAGGACGATGAGGGCTCCAAGTTCTGCGAGGAGGATATTGACCAGATCCTGCTGCGCCGTACGACCACTATCACCATTGAGAGTGAGGGAAAGGGCTCCACCTTCGCCAAGGTACCCCCAGTTCCCCTGCGCAGATCCTTCCTGCAGATGCCCCCAACACCCCTCTCTGGAGACAGTGCAGGAGTTCCCCCTTCACCATGGTCCAGCTTTACCTCCCCACTGACCTGCGGGGCATGTCTCACCTGCATCCCAGTGGGAGGGACAGACAGACACACTCGGAGGTCAGCCTGTGGGTGGGGAATGGAAGCGCGGAGGGACACATGGGATGGCTAGACACATGGCACATTGTAGCTTGGAGATCCAGGGGCGGCACTGCCGCCTTACCCCCTCCCCTCCCCCCCACCTTTCTCTCTCACACACACACTCACACAACTAACCCCCTGGCTCCCTCCACCAGGCAAGCTTCGTGGCCTCGGAGAACCGCACAGATATCGCCCTGGACGACCCCAACTTCTGGCAGAAATGGGCCAAGAAAGCAGACCTGGACCTGGACCTGCTCAACAGCAAGGTTGGGGGAGAGGAGTGGGCCCAAGGGGGCATGGGACCGGGCACTCGAGCGGGTGTTGGGGGTGGGGAACGTGCCCTCTTCAGCTGTGGGGAGAGGGGCTGGGGAGCATCGGGTGGGGGAGGGGGGTTGCTAGGGCCCCCAGAGCCTCCTATCCCCACAGCAGTCTGGGCAAATAGAGACACAGTCGCCCCAGTAATGTGGATAAGCATCGGGTCGGAGCCCTACCAGGAGGAGGGGCTGCTTCCCACTGTGCTGTGAGCCCCCACAGCTCCCTGGCTCTAGATCTCACTCCCAGGCTTCCCTGGGCCCCCCGAAATCCCCAATCTGTCCTGAAAGGGAATGTGTCCAGAGCCACCTTGGAGAGGGGGTCTGGGCAGCAGGAGGTTCTCCCAGCCAGAGGGGTGGGGGGCGTATCCCAGAGCTGCCCTCCTACAGCAGGAGCTGGTTCTGGGGTCTGGGCTGGCAGCTCTCCCTGTGTGCTTCCCCCCTCCCCCCCCAAATCTAGGTGTAACCATCCCTCCCCTCCCCAGAATAACCTGGTGATTGACACGCCGCGCGTGCGGAAGCAGACCCGGCACTTCAGCACCCTGAAGGACGACGACTTGGTGGAATTCTCGGACCTGGAGAGCGAGGATGAAGAGCGGCCACGCTCCAGGCGTCATGACCGCCACCACCCCCTGCACCACTCATACGGGCGTACGGACTGCTTCCGCGTGGAGAAGCACCTGCTGGTCTACGGGTGAGGAGGGCTTGTCTGGGGGTTCCCTGGGCCGGTGCTGACCCAGCCAGTCCCCCAGGGCTGCAATGCTGGTAGGAGGGCTTGGTATGGTCAGGTTCCTCATGGTTGGGAACACTGGGGGGTATATTTGGGGGAGGTCTCGGGGCCGGCGCTGACCCAGCCAATCCCCCAGGGCTGCAGGTGCTGGTCTGAGGGCTTGCTATGGCCGGGTTCCTCGTGCCACGGGACACTGGGGGGAGGGGTCTCAGGGCCAGCGCTGACCCGTGCAACTCCCCACAGCTGGGGCCGCTGGCGAGAGATCCTGTCCCACGGGCGGTTCAAGCGGCGCCTGTCGGAGCGGGACGTGGAGACAATCTGCCGCGCCATCCTGGTCTACTGCCTGCTGCACTATCGAGGCGACGAGAACATCAAGGGTTTCATCTGGGACCTGATCAGCCCGGCTGAAAACGGCAAGGCCAAGGAGCTTCAGAACCACTCGGGTGAGGGTTCCCAGCCCACCCCCCAGCTCGCTCCCTGCACGCCTGCCTGCCTCATAGAGGAGCCATGGAGCTCCTTGGGTGCGACGCCCCGCCAGCCCTCCGCCCCGTTCTGACCTCTCTGTCCATCTGTCCTCCAGGCTTGTCAATCCCCGTGCCCCGGGGGCGCAAGGGCAAGAAGGTGAAGTCCCAGAGCACGTTTGACGTTCACAAAGCCGAGTGGATCCGCAAGTACAACCCCGACACACTCTTCCAGGACGAGAGCTACAAGAAGCACCTCAAGCACCAGTGCAACAAGTAAGGGACCCAGGCGTCTGGGCTCCCCCCAACATGCACATGGACCCCGGTGTCCAGGCCCCCTCCCCCCAGTGTGCACACTCAACACTAGTACAAGCAGGGGACCCAGACATCCAGCTCTCCTTCTCTCCCCCCCCCCCACACACACACACACGTACAAGGGACCTAGGGGTCCGAGCTGCCCTCCCCCGGCTGGGGATGGGGCCCAGGCATCTTACTCCCCAGTATGGGCTCTGTGCTCTCTCTGACCCTGTGATGTGTCTCTGTCAGGGTGCTGCTGCGAGTGCGGATGCTGTACTACCTGCGCCAGGAGGTGATTGGGGACCAGGCCAGCAAGGTGCTGGCTGGTGCTGGTGCAAGGTAATGTACCTTCTGCCCCCCCACGCTGTGCTCCACTGCCCCTCCCCCCTGCGCCCCTCATTGCTGCCCTGTCCCTGGTCCGTCCCTGTCTCTTGGCCTCCCCCCCCTCCCTCCCCTGTCTGTCCGTCCTCCCTGCGTCTGGACCTGCGTCTCACTTGTTTCTCTGCCCCCCTCTCCTCCCAGCGAGATCGACATCTGGTTCCCGCTGGTGGAGCAGCTGGAGGTGCCAACCGGCTGGTGGGACGCTGAGGCTGACAAGTCCCTGCTCATTGGGGTCTTCAAGCATGGTGCGTGTGTGGGGGTGGGTGTAGGGGACTCAACTCCCCTAGGTTGACAGCATGGGGGAAGGGGGGTCTCACTTGGGGAGGGATAAATTGTGCATGCGGTGGGAAGGGAGTGAACAGTCCCAGAGTGGTTGGGCCAGGGAAGGCTGTTTCTGGCCCCAGTGTGTGTCTGTGTGCACAGAGAGGGCAGTGGGGTGCTGACCCTGACCTGTGCCTCCTCCCCCCAGGCTACGAGAAGTACAACACCATGCGAGCTGACCCCGCTCTCTGCTTCCTGGAGAAGGCCGGGCGCCCCGATGACAAGGCCATCGCCGCAGAGCACCGCCTGGATGTGGGAGAGGGGTGAGTGACTGTCTAGGGGTAGGGGTGGGGCCTGGGCACGGGGGTGGGTTGAGTGATGTTTCTCAAACTTCTGTATTGATGACCCCTTTCTCACAGCAAACCTATGAGTGCAACCCCCCCCTTGTAAATTAAAAACACTTTTTTGTATTTAACACTATTATAAATGCTGGAGGCAAAGCGGGGTTCGGGGGTGGAGGCTGACAGCTCGTAACCCCCCATGTAATAACCTTGTGACCCCCTGAGGGGTCACAATCCCCCAGTTTGAGAACCTCTGGTCTAGGTGACTGACGGGTCTAGTGGGCAGAGCCTGGGCACGGGGGTGGGGGGGGGTGAGTGGCAGCCAAGATGGCGGGGCCTGGGTAACCTGTCCGGAGGGGCGTGCCTGTGATGACTTGCCATGCTAATACCGACCCCCCAGCAGCACTTGGCTCTGCCCTGGCGGGGAATGAGTTAAACTTGCTCCTCACGGAGTTCTGAGGCACCAGCCCCCCAGGGGCTGTGGAGGGGGCCCAGCTGGAGGCAGTTCCTGGGGGGGTCACTAACCCCTCCTTTCCCATGGGCCTCAGGGCGGAGTTTGACAAAGACTGCGAGGACCCCGAATACAAACCGTTGTCCGGGCCGGCCAAGGAGCAGGACGATGAGGTGAGAGCTACTCCTAGCCACCCCCTCGCCCCAGGGTCCTCCTCTGCCCTCAGGTCCCTCTCCACAGCGCTCCACCTTGTCCCCCTCTACCCTCTCCCCACCGGGTTCCCCATCCCCACAGACCCCCTGCTCCCCCCGCCATAACCCAGCCCCCCATTGGCTCCTGGGGGCATCCTTGTCTGGAGCAGGCAGCAGGCTGGGTATCAGGCAGGGGGTGGGTGACATGGCTGAAGGGCACAGTACTCCCAGTCCTTAATGTGTCTCTCCTTCCCCACCCCCAGGGTGATCCCCTGATGCTGCTGGACGAGGAGATCTCGGTGGTGGATGGGGATGAAGGTAAGGGGGTGGGGAAGAGGGTGGCTGGAGCACAGAAAGGGTTAAAGTGGGCACTGTCCCGTAGCGTGTAGGCTGGGGCTGGCTGGGAGGGGTTTGGGGTACAGGGTCTGTGTGCATTTGGGGGCTGTGACCCCTGTTGTCTCCCTGCAGGCCAGCCGGGGGGTTGGGGTGCAGGGTCTGTGCAATGGGGGGGCTCTGACCCCTGTTGTTCCCCTGCAGGCCAGCCGGCCCAGCCCGGGCACCTGTTCTGGCCGCCGGGCTCAGTGCTCACGGCCCGCCTGCGGCGCCTCATCACCGCCTGCCAGCGCAGCTACAAGCAGGAGCAGCTGAAGATGGAAGCCGCAGAGCGGGGGGACCGGCGGCGCCGGCGCTGCGAGGCAGCTTGCAAGCTCAAGGAGATGGTGCGCCGGGAGAAGCAGCAGCGGTGAGGCCAGGGCAACATGCAGCCGTAGGGGGGAGCCCCACCCTGTTCCAGGGGGTGCTTTAGAGATGGGACACGCACCCTGCAGCCACCACAGGCCTCTAGGATGGGGGGCCCTGGTTCTGGGATCTGGGGCGAGGATGGGGGGGCTTGGGGCAGAGGTGCATCTTCCCAGGGACTGGTTCAGGTCCACGGGCCCGCTGAGGCTCTCCTGTTCCCCGCCTCCAGGTGGACGCGTCGGGAGCAGTCGGATTTCTACCGCGTGGTGTCCAGTTTCGGGGTGGAGTACGACCCTGACACGCTGCGCTTCCACTGGGGCCGCTTCCGGGCGCTGGCCCGGCTCGACCGCAAGACAGACGAAAGCCTCACCAAGTATTTCCATGGGTTTGTGGCCATGTGCCGGCAGGTGTGCCGGCTGCCCCCGGCCGCCAGCGACGGTGAGTGTCTGTCTGCCAGCAGCCCTGAGTGGGCATAGGATAGGGTGAGGATAGGGTAAGTTGGGGGTCTGGGCTCCCAAAGTCTCTGACCCCTCCCTCCCCCCCATCTCTCCGCACAGAGTCCCCGGACCCCACGCTGTTCATCGAGCCCATCTCGGAGGAGCGGGCCTCCAGGACGCTGTACCGCGTGGACCTGTTGCGCCGGCTGCGGGAACAGGTCCTGTGCCACCCGCTGCTGCAGGAGCGCCTGGCCCTGTGCCAGCCACCGGGCCCTGAGCTGCCCACCTGGTGGGAGTGCGGGCGGCACGACAGGGAGCTGCTGCAGGGGGCAGCACGCCATGGGCTGAGCCAGACCGACACCACAATCATGCAGGACCCCGACTTCTCCTTTCTGGCTGCCCGCCTCAGCTACTTGCATGGCCGGGCTGGGACGCCTCAACCCCCTGCAGGGGGTGCTGGAGCAGCCACCGCCTCCCCCCTGCCCCCCACGCCCGAGCTGCCGGCCCCGCTGCTGCCTGTGCTTCTCCCCAAGCCTGACTCAGCTGATGACTCGGACTCGGAGCTCGACCTGGGGAAGCTCTCGCCCTCCACATCCGGGTCGTCGTCGTCGTCCTGCTCGGAGGACAGCGACGACGAGAGGGGTGAGTGTGGGACCCCCTGTACTCCTTCCCCTGGGGTTCCACCCCATCCCCTCTGGGTCACCCATACCCTCCCTGAGCCAGGGATCCCCTCTGCCCTCCACGTCCAGGTCATTGTCCTGCTCTGAGGACCGCATGGAGTGTGGGACCCCCATACCCCTCCTCCCTGTACCCAGACTGAGCTAGGGATCCCCCTGAGCCAGCTCTGACTGCAAACGAGGGTGAGTGACCTGACCCCACAAGCCAGGTCTCTTCTCCCTCCCCCCGTTCCAGTGACTGTGATGAGAAGTGGGGGTGCCCACCTGGACCACCTCCAGAAGCCCTTAAAGGCCAGGAATCCCCCCCCCCCCCTTGATATCAAGGTGTTCCCCTCTGGAGTGCAGGGAAGTCCCCTGGCCTGAGGGACAAGCCCCTGGGGGGGGTGGGGGCAGGTCTATCTGTGGGGGTGGGTCGGTCCGTCTCTGCATCCTCCTCACCCTTTTCTCTCTGCAGGCAGGGAAGCCTGCAGGATGGGCGTTGGTCATGGGAAGCAGGAGGCCTCCGTCTCCCTGTGGCAGGAGTGGGGGGCGGAGGTGTCTCCCCCCACCCTCACCCCCTACGCACGATGCCGTCTGTGGCAGGAGTTGCCCATGGGGTGGAGCGTGTCTCTCTCCCCACCCCCCAGGCCTGATGCCCTACGGGGGGGAAGCTGTCCATGGGGGGGGGGTGGTCTGTCTCACCACCCCCAGGCACAGTGCCCTGCGGGGAGAAGCTGTCCATGGGGGGGGGGTGGTCTGTCTCACCACCCCCAGGCACAGTGCC